CCGAGGAAGAAGAATGACGGGTGAAAAGGCACAAGAAAAATAAAAGGCAAATTAATGAAAGGGCAGCTAGAAAAAAGAAATGGAGTTATAAAAAAGTGATCTATGCAAACAATTGTACCGAATAAGAAGAAGCCAGTTAGGATTAAATTTATGAGTTTCATATTGAACAGAGAAACAGAAGAATGACAGAATATCTAAAAGCAAGTGACTTCAAGTAGAGCAAGCAGGAATGCTCAGAAAGTAGGTTATTTAGTTTCTTGTTCCTGTTCGAGGTTCCTGTCATTAGCTCTAATACTGTTGGATGGAAGAAGAGATAAAACTCTCCAGAACAGACCTATAGATGATATGCAGCATCTTACTGCAAATGTTGAAGGACCTATGCATCCTTAGAAGGTATAGTCTGGTCTGCTTTGTCCCTTCTTCTAGACGCCTTAACCGTTGTATCTGCAGTCTAGTTTGTTGTCCAGGTAAACACCAAGGTATTTATACTCCTCAACAACCTCTACTTCTTCTCCTATGATGTTAGTAGGTTTCAACTTGTTCCTGTTTCTCCTGAAATCTACAATCATCTCCCTTTTATCCCTTTGTTGACTTTCAGGAACAGATGATTGTTTCCACACCATGCCACAAAGCGGTTTGACAGCTCTCTGTACTCAGCTTCTTGTCCATCTTTAAATCACACAATGACTACAGAGTCATCTGAGTATTTCTGCAGATGACAGGAATCTGTCTGGTACTGGAAGTCAGAGAGTACAGAGTAGAAAGGAATGGAGAGAGTACCATCCCCTGTGGTGCTGCTGTGCTGCTAAAAATAGTTTAATGCAAAGATAAGTTTTAAGCATTCAGTCAGAGACATTTTGAATATTTTTATTTAAAACAAATTTCTTTGTTTAAGTTAATTCTGGCTTCATAAAATGTGGTTATACAACACTGAGGTTGGAAGATTAAATACAGGATTTCAATGCTGTTTTCAGACAGAATAATTAACAAAGTTATCCAAGCTGTAGTTGGACCGTACTGGCTGTACTGGCGTGTTTGTTGAATTAAGACGTCACGTCAAGCGACACTTGTTGAAGAAGACGTTTTTCTCCTTTCTCCACTTTAGCCATGAACTCTGCTTTATCCTTCATTTTCATCAGTGAATCGACCCGTTGCTTCCAGCCTGGTTTGGCCTCCTGTTTCTCTCCTTCAATGAGCATCTCAATGTACTCTGGAGTGGAGAGAGGATTGGGCTTCAGGGCTATCTCTTTCAGTCTGTTCAGACACGTTGCTGACTTTTCAATCAATTTTTCTACTTCTTTCTGCATGAGACTGTATTCAGCCTTTAGTTCCGACAGCAGACCTTCAACAGTCATCTTCTCTCCAGCGGCTTTGTTGTAGTTATCCAACATCTCTTTCACTGTCTGTGTTTCGAAATCATCAACTAATTTCCAGATGTACTCTTCATACAAATGTTGTGTGTAGTGGCATTTCATTGGACACGTGGTACATTTTTCACTCCTGTCCATCACAAAACATCGTTTTCTGTCAGAACTCATCGTACAAGGAGAATGACAGGTGACATTACAGTTCATACAGTTGGTGCTGCAGTTCCCAGAACCAGAGATATTAACCTTTTTATATCTTTTCACGGGTATGGTTACCTCAAAGTTTTGATTCCTACTTATGTCTGCTTCGTGGTCTTTAATTTTGTGTCTTGTCTCCCTGATCATCTCCATTTTGGCCAAACCAAGGTTAACCTGAACCTGCAGATTCTCAACTGAAATCTCCAGCTCTTTTCTTTCTATCAGGACCTCATTTGTCAGAATCAAACTTTTGGTTTCTATCTGATTCAGAGCAGCAAAAAACCTTTTCATGCTTTTCGTTCCCATGTTCCAAAACATCTGATTAAAGTTTTCTTCATCATCCTCACTTTGAGCATCTGCTTCAGAGGTTGTATTGTCAGCAAACAGAGCAGAGTTGTTGAACTTGAAGTGAACAGGCAGGCCATCTTTACTTTTGGGACACGGGACGCCTGATTCTGTTATACCAGATAGAACTGGTGGCTTCTGACCATCTGCAAAGGTCACTAGGACCCTGATGTTTTCTGCTACATCTTTACCAAAGATTGACAGGATGGAGTCAAAGACGTATTTCTGTGTTGATGTGAGACGGGCTAAAGCCGCCTGAGCTACAAAACACACGGCATTAATTTCACTGACGCCATCCTTATCAGAAAAGAGGTTATGCAGCTGCTCTGTGATCTCCCTGTCTCTGTCTATGCCTCTGGTGTCTCCAAAGCCTGGTGTGTCTATAATGGTCAGAGAGAAGGGAACCTCAAATCCCTCCCTGTGGTTTAGTTTGTACACAACCACCTCAGATGTCTGACTGTGAGCTTGGGATTTCGTGTCATCTTCATCCACCAACTTAAACCGATATGAGTCTTCCCATTTCACACCTAGAATGTGATTGATCATCCCATTGATGAGAGTGGACTTCCCAGCACCTGTGGCTCCAAGGACCAGGATGGTACGACTTTGCTTTTTGCCACCAACTTTGCTGAGTTCTCCAAAACTGAAGAACTTGCACCCATTTATTTTGACTTCCTGCTCCTTCAGAGGAATGCTATAAACTTGCATTTGTCCAGCATGTTCTATTAATTTGCTCTCAGATTTTAGTTCATCAGAAAGCCTTTTTGGGCTCTCGGGCTTTCCAGAATAAATGTCGTTCATGGTGGGCTGCAGATAAAGTTTCAAGAAGAAGACAATGGGAAAGAGGTTTTTCAGTGTGGGGCTATTTTCCACAGCCAATACTGCAAGAAGAACCAGAGAGAGACAATTAAAACTCTAACAGTTCAATACATACATGCATATAAATGTAGTGCTACAAACATTCTTAAAGTAGACAGTCATAAAGCAATGCTACTTTTTCTAACATGGCATAATAATTTTAAAGTCGTAGGGAAGTGGCTGTTCCGTTGCATTTCCGAATTCTCCTGAGTGGTGCCCAACTTTACACGAGTGAATAAAGTGAATGAGATTGGTCATTTATGAAGGGGCTGGATTGTCGTGGCGGAAAGTTCGCAAGTAAGTTTGGTTGTGGCTGGTGTCTCGGAAGCATCTTGCTAACCAGTAGCAACTTAGTGCTAGTAGGTTCCCAATGGGAAATTCCATTGGGACCAAGTAGCACTAAATTGGTGACTTAGAAGCAACACTGTCAAGGAACGCTATGGACAGCAGAAGCATGCAAGAGGAGAAGAGTTTTGTGTCGGAGGTTGTGGATGAGTCTCCTCTGTCATACATTTTTTATTTAGAGGTGGAAAGCAGGGACAAAGTCGTGGAAGAGGCTGAAGCTTCGTTTGGAGTACAAGGCTTATAGCCAATGGCGTAGCTATCGGTAAGCAGAGACTGCAGTTGCTTAGGGGCCCCGTCACTTAAACCTAGTTGGACCCCTACGCAATTGTGGACTACGACGTCTCTTTGCAGATGTAATGGTGCGAAAAATTCCTCTTAAACCCACCTGATACTGAAGTGACTGACCTTATTTATACCCCAACACATGGCAGATTTAAACATGATGATAAGCAGTTTAGACACGACACCAATAGTAAAGCAGACAGTGGTATTTTTAATTACTATGTTAATAACTGTGGATAGTTCATTAGACGGTTGGTAAAAAATACACTCATATAATATGTTTCAAACTGCAATAAAGATCTTAAAAGAGTGATGTATTTGAGTATTTTATTTTTACAATACTAATTGGAATTATGGGTAATCCAGAGCGTAGATTAAAACCATAACCGTTACGTACAATGTGTTAGTGACAATGGATACCAAAATGAGGTACTTAAGTGGATTCCGGAAAAGAAAAAGCATAGAAGAGCTGCTGGAAGAACGGAAAATACTTCCCAAAATAAACACGTTCTTTCAAAGAACCAAAGAGAGAGAGAGAGGTGGACGTTGCTGCTGCTGCATTGAGTAAAGATTGTGACCAGGTGATGAATGGAGAGGGTGTAGGTGAGGAGGTGAGCTGTGAAACTCAAGGTAGTCTGATAAGACTAATTTTACAGCAGAATATACTAAAGTATATCCATGTCTAGTGAAAGTGAAGAATGATGAAATGATGAAGTGTGTATGTATGGGGCACATTTTGGGTCGGCTGTCTATGGCAGCGGCGGCGGCAACAGTGGCGGCAGGGGGTGTTGTACTTCATATGGGGCCCAACCAGATAATTTTGCTTACGGGCCTATTGTTGTGTTGTTAGGCCATTGCTTACAGCTATACAGTACATGTTTGAGCCCTTGCCTCGCAATGCTGCCAGTTCTGTTAGCTCTATGCCTGACACAGACGTCCATACCTGTAAACCCTGGGATGGAACTCAATGGTAAAGGAAATTATTCTTATTTCAACAGTTGCGTATATAATCTGCGACATATGAATCAAGAGCTATGACCAATTGATTGACAGATGACCTTTGATATACAGTATGATTGGCCGAATTTAGGTGTACAGGCTGCAGTATAACTAACTGGCCTGCATAAGATAACAAAAAAAAACTCCCCACAGATGTTAAGACAGGGGTTTTTTTTTTAATTAAAATTTTATAACTTTTCGGACAAAAAAATCTGATAAAGAGTACATTGATATACATCTTTAAGCCAGAATGATATGACATTTAAATATGACTTCCCTACGACTTTAAGAGGTATTATGGTTATTCCTCCAGTTTTTATTGGGACAAGAATCTTTTGAATGACATAATATGAACAGTTTCAAATAAAAACAATCAGTTAAGACTTCCAGGTAAGGGCAAACCCTTTCATTTCTTATGTCAATGCACTCAGTTTTCTGTATTTTTTCAGGATAGTCAAAACAAATATTGTCTAGACTTATCAAGACACCTGGTAAGGTATTTTCATGGTGGAGAAATATAGCATTAAAGCATTCAAATCTGCTAAAACAAATGACCAGTTACAGTCTTAATTCACAGTTGAGATCACATAAGAGTTACTCTTCAAATACCTCAATCTGTTTTTTGGGACGTTTTATGAAACAAAATAGCAGATATAATTATAAATTTGAGCTGTTGGACCTTGCAATTAACTGAAAATAAAATACTATCCAAGCATGGTTTAAACCTTTCCAAATGATTACAGCGACTGTCTCATTGTAAAGGACAGGGAAAAAAAAATCTCAGCAGCTTGTTAGCAGCTTTGTTTTAACTTAGAGTTTAAGTAAGAGTATTGAGGCTGTTTGAGTGGCATTACACAGGACATATTTAGGGAAGAAAATGGACAACTGTGCACATGTTTTCACAATGCTGATAAAGGGAAAATGAAGATAAACTGGTACAAACCTTTTCCTGGCGCAGCTTAGTCCGTTAGTTTAATTTCTCTTTTTTGGCTCTGGATAAGTTCTCTAAAAACATCAGAGGAGACATGATTCAACAAGAGAAATAATTCAAATATGTTCCACACAGTATAGATACCTACCACTCAGATTGCTGTGCAACAGAAAGTGAGGAGTTCAAATAGAGCTTGAAGAACATGCCTTCATTTTATATACATACGTATATGGAGAAGGGTCCATATATGGAAGAAGGGTTAAATAGTAATGAGACCAAGTTGGAGATTGCACCAGATTAAAACTTTCACTATGGGGCAATTTAACTGGGTCCATGGACTCTGGAATATCATACAGCGTTGAGATTGCCCACAATTAGTGAACAATCAACTTGTACAGTAAGGGCTTTTTGCATGTTTTATTACCACATGAACTGTAAGCTAGTAGTAATTATGTTAAAAAGGCATAAAAAACCTGTAGCAGTACTAAGAACTCATGAAATCTATAGAAAGATTTTCATTGAAATTACTTTTTAGAACATTGATTCATTGGTGTCTTACATTAATTAATAAAAACTGCTACTCAAATACACATTCAGCTATTTTTTATATCTATGAAAATGCTCTGCTTTAAATTTACTGCATGCTTACACTATCTGCTCAGGCAAAGGTTCAGCCTGTGAATACAAACAACATTGATTCACACCGGAAGTTCTGGACTTTTGTAGAAATTTTATAAAATTATAATTAAACAGGGAAATTCAATTAAATTCAGTTTATTTATATAGCGCCAATTCACAGCAAATGTCATCTCAAGGCACTTTACAGTTCAACCAGATCATACAGTCAAATATATTCAAAGTTTTCTATCTAAGGAAAACCAGTTGATTGCATCGACTCATTGATTCCAAAGCAATCCCTCACACTAAGCATGCATGTAGTGACAGTGGAGAGGAAAAATTCCCTTTTAACAGGAAGAAACCTCCAGCAGAACCAGGCTCAGTGTGAGCGGCCATCTGCTGAGGCCGACTGGGGTTCAAGGAGACAGAAGCAGAGATACAAAAAGCAACTGTAAAAGGCGGCCCCGTCCAGGAAACACACAGCCAGGCAGACGAGCTCCGAGCCAGCTCCCATGTCAGAGGATGAAGAGAGCACATCCAGCCAGTCACAGTGAGAGAAACAGGACTACACTGGAAAACAGGCCGATCTCCAACATCTATAAACAAGGGTGTTGATGGCAGCAGCACAGCTGATATTTCTCTTGGAAATCTAAAATAATTGTTGTTGATTGCAATGTGTCTAGTAGCTCCTATTGATTTTGCTAGTAAAGTAAGGCTTACCGCACCGTGACGTCACTGCCGGAAGATGTCAGGAGTGAGATGTCACTATATTTGGGCAAAATATGATTGGGACGAAAATTATTGTCTTTATTTTTTTTTACTAATTAAAGCTGAATTAATTAAATCACTGGGTACATATTAGTTTTAGGTATGGATAATGACCCATTGATTATTCCTTGCTGACCGAACTTTCCCTTTAAAATAATTATGATTAAAAGTAATCAAAAAAGATGCTGAAAACATAAGAATAGGGTGAAGCTCTCAGGATGTACAAAATGCCTCAGGAAAGGTGTTTTTAAGAAGAGTCTTAAACTGAGATGACCCCTGTCTGACATCCAAGGTGAGATTGGGGACAATAAGGAGCTGGTACCGTACATTTAGCTAACTTCCTATGCAGAGGCCACAGAGCAGGCTGTACAGCCAAACAAGCAGGATCTTTTTCTGAGAATCCACATTACAGCAACTATCATGGAGGAAATGCAAGCTGCTCTCTGTGGCAGCCTGTTTGTTCCTTCATCCCAGGGATGCTTTCATGCTCTCAGAGAGGTATTTTGGCACTGCTGGCCTCTTCCCTGAGGTATGCAAACCTAGTGTCCCTAAAGAGTTGATGGCTGCTTCACTTCATTAGCCAGCACATGTTCTTCTCCACCTGCGGCCAAAAACAAACTGGTGAAATTTATTGCAAACACAAACAGGTGTGAATAAGTTGTAGTTTTTCTCTCATAGCTGTGTAGTTTGGCCAAGACACCAATTTTTCACTTCCTGCTACCTTAAGATGCTCCGGTTTTTGCAATTTTAAAAGATTGTATAGTTTTTCTGAATTTCCCCACCATGGCACAATGAATTACATTTCCAAGATCTCTGTACTTTGATTAATCTACTAAAACAGAAACTATCAGAACAACATAAATGTTTAAATGAATCAGGGTGTGATTACTAAGTGCTGAGTGGGTGCCTTATCTGTTATCAGCAGTGACTGTAAAGCCTTTAAAGTAAACCTCATTCTGCAAGTTAAGCATTATGTTATAGTTCAACATGGGATCGTCTGATTCACATATTATAAAACCACCACAATGATGCTATAAAAATAACTGCAAACTCATATCTGTGACCCAAAAAGTTTACTTTATTTTCACTGATTCTTTTTATCTCAGTATGTCTTTGCTGTTTTTTACTTTTTTATATGCTTTGCTCTTTGCAATGTTATGCTTATTTTTCATTAGTTTTATGCTGCCTACTCAATGAAATCTGCCATATATCCCCTGCTAGACAAAAGACTTTTGTGATATTTATATTTAAGGAAAGCGTTTTGGCCAAATCCATCCAGGCGAAGGCAGAATTTACAAAGAAAAAGTATTTTGTCTCTTAGTGTTAGTTAGTACATTTTAAATTTATCCAGACCATCATTTTGGTCCATATTTTACTACGTTTATAACAGACATCCATCATATATTGTAACAATAATGAAAGATTATTGGTAGGTTGTTGTGCAGATCCTCCTGATGGTCACACCATTTCTGGGAAATGGTCTGTTTTCAAGAACTGAATAAACATGAGGAGGTGTGTCTCCCTCACTGAGAATATAAGTATGAGAATGAAACTGCTCTTTTAGACCTCAGAAACATTTCTGCAGTAAGTATACCTAGACTTTTTTACTCTGTATTTTTTTTTCCTACAGAAGATAAATACAGCTGCAAGTTATTATTCTTCTTCTTGAGAAGAATGACAGATTTGTAGTTTTAAAGATTACATTTAAATTTAAAATTGTAAAAAAAAACAACACATATATATATATTTCTTTTAATGTCATGTACATATTGTTGCCAAAAAATTATAAAAAATATGTTCAGTAATAAAAAATATTTTTCTTTCTTATAGATTTTTACAGTGACAACCTTATTTTGATGTCATTGGTTCTTTCCACCCTCATAATTTCTTTTCTTCTTTTCTCGCTTCCTTAATGGTGTTTTTAATGTTATCTTTATGATTATTATTATTACTATTATTATTAGTAGTAGTGATGGTAATACTGCTTTGTTTGATATTACTAAAAGTTTGTAGTTTCCAGATTTTTTCTGAATCTTCTCTGAACCTTTTTTGATCCAGATAACAAGATGGGCTCTGAGAAGATGTTAGAGATGGCCACACTTGGCAGACCGTTTAGCCTTGGGATGCTGTATGACCGCCGCCAAGACATACTTATTCCTGGTAAAGAATAACATTATTTTGTTTCCATGAGGTTTGACATCAAAGTGGAACAAATAAATCTTTAAGAAGCTGAAAAATAAATGTAATAGTTGGTGCCAGCATCTTCGTTATTACTGAAATGTTTAGCAGTGGGGGCTATCATGACTACATTATAAACACACAATGGGGGCAGGTAAGAAAAATGTACACAAATATTCCTTTTATTTGAGCAGTCATTGACTGCCTATCCTGCATGGAAGTGAGTAGACCTCATACCTGTTATGATTGCAAAACTATTGGATACGTTTCTGATTTATTATGAAACATGTGGAAGTAGCTGAAGTCCAAATTGTCCATAAATTGGATGAGTCAGGCTTGCAAAAAATAGAAAATAAAAACAGATATGAGTTGCATATGGGTATATTGCTTAGATTTGTTTTGCATTTGCCTGCTGTGTGAACATAGTCTTGGTCTTGCATATTCAGACATGATTTGGGCACTTTACTGTGCATTTTGTATTGATAAGACCAGATCGACCCAGTGTTCAAACCAAACAACCAGTGTAAAAGCTTAAAACATTGTCAGTGACTAGGGCAGGAACCTCTGGATATGGAGACAGAAGATTAGTGACCAAGTTAGCTTTACAATGTGCATCAATCACAAATGTAGTAGTCCTTAACTTTCTCTTATTTCCAGTCTTGGGAAGAACCACTAAGTTTAGTTAGAGCCGGTTGACAGTAGCGCTGATGTTGGTATCACTGGTTAGGAAGTTCCAGAGAATAACTCTGCTGTCAGGCAGAGGATCAGAACCGCAAAGACAATAGTAGGCAGGAGGAACAGGAGGACAAACCAAAATCCGTAATCAGGAGCAAAGTCCAGGTTCAGAGCCAGGTGGTTAGAAGTCTAATGAAGCACCAGAGGGAAATCCAGGATAAGGTCGAGAAACAGTTCCAGGTTAGGCAACGGGCAGGCAGACAAACAGATCAGGGTCAGGCAGAACAGGCAGACAGTCACATTAGACAGGGATCAGGCAGGCTCAGAAACAGGGACAGGTCAGGTCAGGCAAGCGGTCAAAAAGTCAGGAATCAAAATGCTGGAATAGATTTCACCAATGGCTCAAAATAATCTGGCACGGATGTCTGAAGGCTGGTTATATACCAAAAGGTGTAGGTGGATTAGATGAATAGAAATGAGAATGGGGCGGAGCTGAGCATGTGTGCTTTGTGAAGAATCAGACCAGCATCACTGCTGAGCTCTTGACACATTTGATTTTATTCCTGGTCCAATTTCTGTTTCCTATATATAGAGTGTGAATTTTGTGTTTCTCTAAAATAGGCTATATGCAAGGCTTTAGTGACAAAGTGTGATAATGTCATGTTGGGTAATAATGTCCTAACCCACATGCACAATCATGCATGAGAACAGATAAAGCTAAGAAGATACATCTACCATTTTACAAAAGATATGTCAAGAGGACAGAGTCCAAAATGGTCAGCACAATATAACAGGAGTTTCAGCATTCTGCTTTCTAGATCACCTTCAGAGGAAAGAGACTGATTAACAAGGTTCAAAAGATTTCCCTATCCTTCATATAGGATTTAAACCAGTCCAGTGCTGTACCAGAAATGCCAATTCAGGTCTCCAGATGTTCAATAAAATCGAGTGATCAGCATCATCAAACGCTGCACTGAGATCCAATAATATTAACACAGTGGTTTGTCCACCATCTGAATCTATACAGATATCATTGAACACCTTAATCAGGACAGTCTCTGAACAGTGGTTGACACGGAAACTTGATTGGAAGCCATCAAAGCAGTTTGTCATTGTTAAGAAGGCATTTAACTGATGAAACACAACTTTTTTAATACTCTTACTGATGAAGGGGAAGTCTGAGATGGGTCTGTAGTTCCAAAGGACCAATTTGTCGCCTGACTCTGCGCAAACAATGAAATATCACAATGATAACAAAACAACTTCCAGGTTTGCTTGTTTACTCTAGAGAGCAGTAGTACCGTATATTGCCACTAGGAGGCGAGGAACCGTGCTAGCATGGCGTGTAAATGGTCCTAAGGAACCAAGCTCAGCATGGTTAACTGATCCAAGCTCAGCACGGATTGGTTTTCAGAGTGTAGTGTAAACAGGGCTTAAAGGGCTGGTTATACTCCCACAGCATTGGGTCGCAGCTTATCGTATTTTTGATTTATGCTCAATTTTGATCTTGACCCATGACAATGGAGGGACATGAGGGTGAAAAAGAACGGGGATACAGGTGGAAAAAGGGTCCTAGCATTCCCACGCACCTCGCTCTTTTAGCTGGTCCATCTTCACGAGTCGTTTTCTGCAATGGCGGACATACAAACAAAACAAGCCGGTGCGGTAGCAAACAAGGTAGCAAACAGGAGACGCATAATGTAGTGCGTATGTAGATTTGACCAATCAGAGGCCTCCTGTCTGCGATCATCTACAAGTTGGGAGAGGTGCAGCAGAGTGTCTGCGGAGGGGGCGGGGATGACCTACACAGATGACCTAGTTTCAAAGTATAAATCAGTCTTAAGTCAATGAGAAGAAAAGGACTAAGCAATAAAAAACAGGCCCTTTGATCTATGATCAAAGGGGTTGAAGGCAGCCGCACAGCTGATATTTCCGTCCAAAATGGTTTCACAGTCGAATAGGACCACACCAGATAAAGCTACATTTATGAGAAAATTTATAAAGAACATTATGTTGGGAGTCTAACTCACAGGTACTGAAGAACTGGAGGGTAGAGAAGACTGATAAAAAATGTTTCCCAAATGTCATCCTGCAGCCTAAGCCTATAGCAACATAACTATAGAGATAGCACAGGATAACCTGAGCCCATCTACCGGAAATTAAGTTTTAAGCCTAGCTTTAAAAGTAGACAGGGTGTCTGCCTCATGGACTAAAACTGGTAGTTGGTTCCACAGGAGAGGAGCCTGATAACTAAAAGATCTGCCTCCCATTCTATTTTTAGGATTTCTAGGAACCACTAGTAAACCTGCAGATTGAGAGCAAAGTGCTCTGTTAGGAACATATGGAATGATCAGGTCTCTGATATAAGATGGACCTTTGTTATTTGAGATTTCATATGTAAGAAGGATCTAAAGTTCTAAATTTTAACAGGAGGCCAATGAAGAGAGGCTGAAAGGAGGAGAAATATGATCTTTCTTTTTAACTTAAGCTATAGCATGTCGCATCAGCTTAATAATAAATCTTCCTTATGTGGAGTTCAACAGGGATCAGTACTAGGACCAAGACTGGGATTAATCTCCACTGTGGAGCTAATGATACTCTTTCTATATCTGTCTATAGATCCTGATTAAACTAAGTCCTTACATAGACTAGAGACATGTCTTGAAGACCTACAAACCCAGATATCTCTTAACCATCTGCTTTTGAATGCAGACAAAACATTTTTGTATTTGGTCTTTTAAGTTGTGTATTTTTGCTGCTTTCTGTATGTCTTCTTCTGTCTGCTTGATACCGAACCTGGTTTTGCTTGAGGTTTCTCCCTGTTAAAAGGAAGTTTTCCTCCACTGTTGTTACAAGCATGCTT